GTATACATTTTCAAGATTGGGCAACCAAATGTTCCTTCACTTGGCAGCTTTGAGAAAGGAACCAAACTCGGCTATGTATACAATTTTTCAGCAATTTTATGTTTTTCGTTTCAAATATATGTAACAACATCCAGAGGCGGCTCATTATAATAATGGGCCCTATGGAAGATGAAAATGGGCCTATGTTATTAATAAAATATTGTGGGATTAAATCTATGTGAGCATTAAAAATTTAACGAAATACAAAACAGTCAGGTGACTATCTTCTTCTATCTAAACCATATTTTTTCCAACTGCTCACAAAATTTTGAAACTTTGGTCCTTCAATCTTAAGAAAAAATCGTAAAATAAATTGGACCCTAAGTGATCGCACCTCTCGTACACCCCAAAAGCGTCTCGGCCTTGAGGTGGGAAAGCATGACATTCACCAAGATACCGAAATAACCAAAAGTAAGAAAAGTGCCAGAATCAAGGATTCAAGCATCCTCGGCGTTCTCAGGAACATCAACACTCATCTTGCCTAGGAGTGAACCTGCATTAGTGTCGAATCATCAAAAGGCTGAGTAGACTCAACAAGCTCCGAGGTAGTGGCGATCTCGAGAGAATTATTGGAGATGAGAAGCTCCATCTGAGACAGATTGAGCTTAGGAACTCTTACCTCGGCTTCGACAAGATCGTTCACATATTTATCCTACTCATAAACAACCAAAGAAAAACAAATTCAATAAGATGGAAATATGGAAAACTAGAAAAGTTTTGGCTTGGAAAGATAAATATTTAGTCAAGGGAGACCACATCTAGTTCAGCCTGGAAATCCTTAAACTCACCCTTGATGATGATTTCAAGAAGCTCAATGTTAACCTTTGTCTCAGAGACCTTGATAAGAGGCTCGTGTCTTGCGTCTCTTCCCGCTAGGTGCAATTTCACCAAGTCGAGGGTTGCCTTGAACTTGATAGCAAGGTCCTTTCTCGCTTCACGCGTAATAACTTTCAAATCTAACTCGTGAGTCTCGGCTAGCACTTTGGACTTCTTTTCCACTTCCACGAGTTGAGCCTTAGCTGACTCGTCATTTTCGGTCATCAACGAGATAGGCGTCTAAGACTCTAATCAACGACTCCCTTGCAAAGTTGAGTTTTTCCAAGTGCTCATCACGGGTGACATCGGCGTCCTTGAGTTTGTGCTCTAGCAACTTAGCACGAGTAAGACGCTCGTCACTAAGGCGGAGAGCTTCGGCATTCTTCGTTGCTACATCATGTGAACTCTCTAACTTAGACTTGAGGGAGGTGATGATAGTATTCGCCTTGATAAGCTCAGTCAAGGTGGAAGCGGCTTGGAGACGAGCCTGATACGCGGAGACAGTCTTGTTAAAGGTCGCAAGGAGCTGTGTTCACAAAAGAAAAACTAAGTCAAATCTACAAAGTTTATGACCATGATAAGAAAGAGTAATAAGAAACCTAGGAATTGCAGTGTGAAAATTCCTCAAATTTGACACGATCCTCCGGATGAGATCTTTCACCGGAGGGAGTGAGCATCCCGGTTTTTGAAGTGCCTAAATAAGTGAGTTGCGGAAGCAGGATCTTCACTGATCAAGTAATTGGAGTTTTACTCAAAGTTCTAATAGTACCTCAATTTCTTTGATCCACTTTGGGATCGGGATCCAATATCAAGAGCTTTCTTCTTACCATCCTTAGCAAGTTGGGAACACTGATCAGTGTTTCTGTCACCCAAACTTTGTAGAGCAGTTGAGGTCACCGTCCGAACGTGGGAACTCTTGGCAGCTCGGCAAGAGGGGACCTCGGCAGGTAAGGCCGAGACCAAGTTAGCTGCAGATGGAGGAACTGCTGTGGCAATGAGCTATTATCCCTCGGGAAGAGTGAAGACCTCCAAGGACTTTCCCTGGATTGGCGACACAGCTTTTTCGGGTGACTTCAAAGTCCCCGCAATGGAAAGGTTCTACTCCCTGCATTGAACGAGAAATTCTGAGGTCTATGCTCGAACCGGTGGTGTAGCCGTCTCAAGCAGCATCTGGGTCTTGCGTTGTTTACGGTAGGTTAGCAACATCTTTCTTAATTTGCGAGATGGGTAGCCTGCAAAAAAAAAAAAGGGCACGCATATATCTTGCTAAGAACATGCCTCATTGAATAATAAAACAAGATTTTAAAAAGTAGCAAGCATATGTCTTGCAAAGAACACATCACGTTGTACTACAACAACACAACTAATAAGAAAACATATGTATATCATGCAATAAAGATATGTACGAGTTGAGAAAATTCTAAGTAATGTATTCCACTAACCTTGGCAATTTGGATCATATAGTCCGTAAGTTCGAAACCGCGTTGCGGATTCGGAGATTCGACATTGAGTACTCGAAGGCCAAGACATATCCTCAAGACGTAAAAAATCTAAAAAGATGTCAACCTCGATCGTATTTGCGGTTTTCGGCAAAGCCGCTACAAAAACAATTCACAAAAGCGACAAAAGAAGTTCGTACTCAAAGACAATATGGGTAATGCAAAATCTCAATACTAGTTGTACCAATGCTAGAGGACCAATCGGTGTTGACTAGAGTAGTTAGACTCCTAAAGAAAAATTCATTAACAGAAAAAAAAACGTTTTTCCATTTCTGATCCTTAGAAGGACGATCGGATAAAACGCGATACTCTTCCTCGATAACGATGTTGAAGTTCTCTTTGCAGCCAAAACTCTTACGAATCATGCATACGCGAGCTAAGGAGGGAACCTCAAGTGGCAACCTGTAATTCATGGCTAAAGTTTGCAAGCCAATGACTTCCCGGATGAGGTTCGGGCACAATTGAGGGAGAGCCACGCCGAGTTCACACATCAAGTGAGTGAGGATCTCGAAAATCGAGAAACAAAGCCCACACTCTTTGAAGTAAATTTTGTAGCTGCAACAAAACTCGGATTTATCGAGTTCGAGAGACTCACCGGCCACGGAAAGAATAAGCTCAACCTCCTTTGGTATTCCGCAGTTGGTACGAAGAGCGATTAAATCTTTGGTTTCCATCCGCCTCGGAGGATAAGGTGCAAAACTCTTCATGAGACGAAACGATCTTTCAATACATTGATTCGAAAGTCGCAAGTTGGTGAATTCTCGTGTTGAGAAGCTCCTTTGTTGGCGAGGTCTCATGTCGAGATGAGAGACAAGCTTCGGCTTCAAGGCGCAAGGTCCAAAGCCGAAACTTGGAATCAAAACCCCGAGTCGCCGCTCGTGATACCGAGATGTCGAATTGGCGAGATGCGAGGTGAACTTGCAATTTCGATTTAAGAACTTGGACTCGGATTAATTGACGGTTAAAATGAGATGAACGTTAACAGAATCACAAGAAAACGATCTCGAAAGATGAGCCAAATGGATCTTTTCAAGCAAGCCACAAACGCGAAGAAGAGAGAGTTTTGCCATAAGTTCAGATTAAATAAGCTCAAAAGTGATGAAATTCGCAAAGAACATTAGAGAGAAAGCAAAAAAAAACTAACAAAAATAA